GGGGGGTGCGATGCGCGGTGCTGCGCGGTGCTGCGCGCTCCGCGGTGCGCTCCCGTGTGGGTGGGTGGGTGCGCGGGGCTGCGCCCTCCCCGCCGCCGGCTCGGTGCCCCAACTCGCGGGGAGTCACCCCGTGCTCCTTGGGGTGCGCCCCACGCTGCGGGCTCTGGAGGATGCGCTCGGGGGCTGCACGGCCCCGGGGATGTGCTCGGCGCTGCAGGCTGCGGAGCGGGGAGTGTGGGGATGGGGGGGGTGTGGGGGTGCACCCTGTGTCACAGCCACGGGGAGCGCACCCTGTGCCACACTGTGCTGCCCTGGGGCTGCTGGCCAGACCCCCCACCCGGCTGTGCCCGGAGCCGCTCTTGCTGCCGGCTGGTGCCAAGCTGGAGGCTGCACACCCTGCGCCGTGCCAGATCCCAGGCCTCAGGGCTGCACCGCGCCAGGCCTCGGCACGGCCACGTTGGCCCCAGCCCAAGCCCAGCGCTTTGTTGCTGGCTGGACAGTGGTGCTGAGGGATGTCACAGCGCAGGGCAGGAGCCAGGGCACTGCTGAGGTTTCTTCTTGCGGAGCAGAGGCCGTTAGCAGTGCCCAGCACCTCCCTGCAGACGAGCAGCTCGGTAGCTCGCAGGCTGGGATGCCATCGCCCCAAAGTAAGTGCTCACTTGCCCCAGAGTCAGGCCCTGACCCCACAGTGCCATGGGAAGAGCCCCAAGTCCCCCAAAGCGACTCTGAGAGGTGCTGAGGTTGCTCAGCCCCGGCACAGTGCACTGGGGAGCTGCAGAGCACCCTGGGTCTGGGCTTGAGGGAGCAGATAGCGCTTTGCTTGGGCTTTTGCTCTCGCCAGTAGCACTGTGCCTCGGAGAAGCCAGGTTTCAGTTTGGGGTTATGGCCTGTCATATCTCCCACCTGGGACTTGCCAAGGGCTCTCACCGTGCTGCCTGTCTCTTGCCGACAGGTTTGGGGGAGCAGGGATGCGTGGGCAACACGTATGTGTACATTAAGTGCCGTTCCCATTTGTGTAAGACCGTTAGAGGGGTAGTTTCCCATTTTTAATCATTGCCTTGGGACTGGGTAGCAGCATCCTGGGCCGCGGGAGCGATTAACTGGGCCACGGCAGGAGCGCAGCCAGCGCTAGGACCCGGGGCGAGCGGGGCCGGGATGGGACCTCCAGCTGCACAAACTTGCTTCCAAATAGCTCCCTTCGGCTTTTTCCTTCGCAGAAGGAACTGCCCAGAAAAAAAAAAAAGAGATTGGGGGGGAAAAAAAAAAAAGCAACCCTCCCGACGTGGAGCTTTGACGCTGCGGCTTCTCCCGCCGGGCCCCGCTGCCGCCGCCCGCAGGGAACTTGCCCCGGCGATGCCGCGGGGCGACCGGCGGTGGGAGCGGGGCGGGCGCGCCAGGCCCGGGGTCCACGTGTACAGAAATTCCAGCTCGGCCGGGGCTGGGCCCGCATCCCACGGGAAGGGGCGGCCGGGCCGGCTCCGCCGCTCCGCCTTCCCCCCGCCGAGCCTTTCCGCCGGCCGCAGCCTCCCAGCGCCATGTCCCCGGGCTGCCTCGTCCTCCTCCTGAGCATCCTGGGGGCCCTGGGGCTGGGCGACCCCGGCCCCCTGGAAGACGTGGTGATAGACAGATACTATATCCCCAAAATCTGCCTGCGGGAAGTCCAGATGGGGGATTTCATTCGCTACCACTACAATGGGACCTTTAAAGATGGCAAAAAGTTTGACTCCAGGTATAGCCCTCGGCTCTTTACCGAATGCATGCGGCCCCGGCCAGCCGTGTGCTGCGGGGGGGTCCCTGCATGCCTTCCTCCCCAGTCCGCGGGCGTGTCCCCCCGTCGCACCCCCAAGGGCCGGGGGGGCAGCGAGGCGAGGAGCCGGCCCCGGGCCCCGCGGCTCGGACCCCCAGGAGGGCTTTCGGCGGGCGCCGGGGGCGAGGACGGGGGGGGCCACGGGAGCCCCGTACACGTGTCAGCCCCGGGGGCCCCGGCGTGGCCCCCAGCGAGCCGCCGAGCGCAGCCCC